TATGTGTGTGTGTATTTACATGAATGTATTGGGGTGTCTGTGTGTGTATGTATGTGTGTGTATGTGTATATATGTATGTATGTAAACATATATATATGTATATCTATATATATATATATATATATATATATTTGTATATAAAATGTAGGTCTACTTGATATGCGTTTATTATTAGTTTTTACTTTTTGTTTTGTCGGGGTCAAATTGAGACAAGCTTCGCGTCTATTTTGATCCTAATTAATTAATTTTAATGTTGTCCACTTATTTATCATTTGATGTATTTATTAATTAATTGAATAAATGTTAATTGAATTGAATTGAATTGAATTGGAAAACATATATTGTCTTCCATTGTAGACGACAAAAAACATAATAAATAATTGATTTGAAAGAGAGAAGAACAAGATCAAGCTTATCAGAACGGTTCATTATTTCGAGAGATAATGAAAGTTTCTGGAGTGTCAATCAAAGCTTAACAACACTGACCAATCAAAACAGGGCCAGGAATACGCGTACACACGTGTTGTTCTACAAACGCACGTGTTTGGGAACCTTAGCAATAATATCCAAGGGGCGGGACTTATAGCAGAAAGTTCCATTGTATCAGCAGGTGTCTTCGAGGGCCCTCAGTACTGTAAAGTCAAGTGGTGTCAGTGAAATGTATGGATGTCGTCTGTAACACGAAAGGGGACGTCATTGGAGATCAAGCTTTGGGGGATCTACCATCTCCTGTGTAATTTTTAAAGTATATTAGCCCTGTTTTGTATGAGAGAAAGCCATTTCTGAGCATCTTTCTTGGTTTGATTTGTCAAACTAATATAGCATTAAAAATGTAGATTATGAGTTAACGAGGGTGTGGGGATCATCAACATTGTCAATATTGACGTTGGTGGGAGGGGGACGCCTGTGGAATAAAAAAAAACCATTTTAAAAGCATGTTGGTTATCTCTCAGTATGTGGAGGTCATCAAGGTGATGTAGCATGTTACTGTCTATAATGTGTTCTAGTATCTTACAGCACACGCACGTAGGAGAACGGGGAGGTAATTTGCTGGGTTTTGCAAATTTTGACCATCCTCTTAAAAAATGGGCGCATACGTGATATGTTAAAACTAATGCACGTTCCCCGTGCTCTTTCCCGAACGAGGGAACTAGAGTAAGTGGTGCGTAACCAACAAAAATAAGATAAGCTTTGATCTGAGGCTATAATTCTTGACCTTATATTATTTAAAAAATCATAATTCCAAAACGAACAGAGTCGTATATCACATTAAATTTTAGCTATAGGCTTGACACAAACACACGTTTACTATACGAATTTAAGTTGTCCTGTAAGGAAGTCAGGCCTAAGATAAACAAGTAATTTGATGATTCGGAAACTTGGCATTTCTTTGAAATGGAAGTTTGAAACACGGGGTCATCAGTTTAAACTAAAGAAGAGCTCGACTGAATGTTAGGAAACACTCTCTTTCTAACAGAACCATCAACACCTGGAATAGATTAAACCATATCAGTACAGGCTGATGCTGAAAGTTCAATCAAGGACAGAGCAATGTCAAACAAATTTAGCTACCAATAGTTCAAAGAAGTTAGGAGGTCGTTTAAAAGGCATATATGGCCTTACCAAGAGCCTGAAGATTCAAGTAAGGCCCAGTAAAAAAAACCGCGATGATGTACGCCTAGCTATATATTATTAACACTGCCTATTAAGAACCAATTTCTTTTTGAATAGTGTTATTAATTTTAAACACGCGTTAAGTAACAGATATTTACTATCAATGACAATTGCTTGTTATTTAATATGCAATCGTCACAGGGCAGGGAGGGGGCTTAAGCCCCACCCCTATCGGTCTGGTCAAGCCCCACCCCCCCAGCTATAGGCTTGACACAAACACACGTTTACTATACGAATTTAAGTTGTCCTGTAAGGAAGTCAGGCCTAAGATAAACAAGTAATTTGATGATTCGGAAACTTGGCATTTCTTTGAAATGGAAGTTTGAAACACGGGGTCATCAGTTTAAACTAAAGAAGAGCTCGACTGAATGTTAGGAAACACTCTCTCATAAAATTATATCCTAGAGCCTGGAATAGATTAAACCATATCAGTACAGGCTGATGCTGAAAGTTCAATCAAGGACAGAGCAATGTCAAACAAATTTAGCTACCAATAGTTCAAAGAAATTAGGGGGTCGTTTAAAAGGCATATGGCCTTACCAAGAGCCCGAAGATTCAAGTAAGGCCCAGTAAAAAAAAACCGCGATGATGTACGCCTAGCTAAGGCGTTTACGCTATTTTGGTCAAGCAAAACCTACATGTAATTATATAATAATATTATTAACACTGCCTATTAAGAACCAATTTCTTTTTTAATTAGTGTTATTAATTTTAAACACGCGTTAAGTAACAGATATTTACTATCAATGACAATTGCTTGTTATTTAATATGCAATCGTCACAGGGCAGGGAGGGCGATTAAGCCCCCCCCCCCATCTGCCAAATCTCGTCGGGCAGTCTGACCAATGAAAAAAATAGAAAATAGGACTAGTTCTTCCATCCCAGCCATCTAGATCGAATTTTCGGCCCTCAGATAACGCTGCGCGCTATAGTTATACACATAAATATTTATTTCCCCCCCCCCCCACACCTTCCCCATAAAATTATATCCTAGAGCCGCCACTGATCGTCACACTCATAGGCATTGCGTTTATTCATGCATAGTACAATGGTCCAAATATGACTTCCCTCTAGCGGCTCATGTCGCAACTCTCACTATATAGGAACTCTAGAGGGAATCATAGCTACTTTATATATCGCCCTCAATGTGTTTGGTGTTTTATTTATGGGAATTTCCCATGTATCATTTCGTTTATTGTATTTTGCATGTGTAACGCGCCTTATCAGAGTTAAAATGGCAAGTTGTAGTGTAATATGTGCTGTAGTACTAATCACAGTAGTTTTGTGCGGCATTTTGTTCGGCTCGGGCGTTTATTATGGAGATGCTGTTTTAGGGGACAAGAGCGAATGTAGGCTTATGCCTATTGCTTGTAACTTTAGCGAATGGAATGAGTGGTCACACTGCTCGCAGGAATGCGGACCAGATGGGACGCAGTTTCGGGTCCGTAATGTCATTCAGGCAAATGAATGCGGACCGGTCGTGTGCACCGAGCCTTCTTCTCAAGAACGACCATGTAACCGCGTGTGTTATAACGGAGGGAGTCTCTCGCAGGCGGGATGTAACTGTCGAGGCGATTATAGTGGTCGATGTTGCGAATGTGAGCACACCGGATGTAAACTAACCCAGTGGGGTGTGTGGTCACATTGTTCACAAGAATGCGGGCCAGATGGAACTCAATTTAGGGTCCGTAATGTCTTTCAGTCAACTGGATGCGGACCGGTCGTGTGCACCGATCCAACTTCAGAGGAACGGCCATGTAACCGCGTGTGTTACAACGGAGGGAGTCTCACACAGACAGGATGTAACTGTCAACCGGAGTATGGTGGTCCATGTTGTCAATGTCAGAATGTAGACTGTAAATTTAGCCAATGGAATGAGTGGTCTCATTGTTCGCAAGAATGCGGACCAGACGGAACACAGTTTAGGGTCCGTGATGTCATTCAGGCTACTGGATGTGGACCAGTTGTGTGCACAGAGACAACTTCCGAAGACAGACCATGTAACCGAGTGTGTTATAACGGAGGGAGTCTCTCGCAGGCAGGATGTGACTGTAAGGTCGAGTATAGTGGCCAGTGTTGTGGGTGTAAGGACATCGACTGCAAAATAAGCCAGTGGACTAAGTGGTCGTCTTGTGAAAATGCTACAAGTCGTGTAAGATCGCGTGATATTTTAAGAGTTTCTGAGTGCGCAGGCATTGAATGCAAGGGACCGTATACAGAAGAACAAGCATGTTCCTGTCTCTTATACACATCTAGATGTGTATAAGAGACAGGTCAAGTGGTGTCAGTGAAATGTATGGATGTCGTCTGTAACACGAAAGGGGACGTCATTGGAGATCAAGCTTTGGGGGATCTACCATCTCCTGTGTAATTTTTAAAGTATATTAGCCCTGTTTTGTATGAGAGAAAGCCATTTCTGAGCATCTTTCTTGGTTTGATTTGTCAAACTAATATAGCATTAAAAATGTAGATTATGAGTTAACGAGGGTGTGGGGATCATCAACATTGTCAATATTGACGTTGGTGGGAGGGGGACGCCTGTGGAATAAAAAAAAACCATAAAGTATTATCGAGAGTTTTATAATATATTTGGATGAATTCGATTTTGATCGTTGGTTGATGAACTTTGACCTCCTGTGACATATTAACTGTGTAACTACATTGTTCTTTATACCAAATGATAGGGTTTTACTATTCTACACTTTACTACTAATAATAACAAATATATATTTGATAAAAAATTGTGGGCATAAATGTTACCCTCATCCATATCAATCGTAATGCATTAAATGGACACACCAATACAGTACGGTACTCCGTTAGTTTATTTACTGGTTAATTTAAGTATCGCAGTTGTTAAATTACATTTATATAATAATACATAGGCCTATATATTAATAGAGCAGCTCCCTCTAAGCTGTATCACCATTTTTCAGCATCTTAACTGCTATTTAAAGCCATTTCGGACCTTTTTCATTCGTTTCAAAATCCAATACTGAATGCATAATATAGACACGTCCACATAATTTTGGAACAATAATTAGCAGCGGCGGGAGCTAAGATATTACAATTTTATCTATACATGTATTTTACTATATGAATTACTTCAGTTAAATTTTATCCATATTGATTAATTTTTAATGGGATAGAAAACTATTATCACAAGTTTTAATAAATATTTCGGGTAAAATTCGATTTTGATATTGGTTAATAACCTTTTGACCTCATGTGATCGGAACCATAACTTAGCAGTGGCTGGAGCTGAGATTATTACTATTTTATTTTGATTGGATTTATTCGGTGTAAACACCAAGTCTAGAAGAAGACTTACTTCCAGTGGGGTCCTTCTGGTGGTGATTGGGCAGTACACCGGGAGATAATTTTGGAACAATAATTAGTAGCGGCGGGAGCTAAGATATTACAATTTTATCTATACCTGTATTTTAATATATGAATTACTTCAGTTAAATTTTATCCATATTGATTAATTTTTAACGGGATAGAAAACTATTATCACAAGTTTTAATAAATATTTCGGGTGAAATTCGATTTTGATATTGGTTAATAACCTTTTGACCTCACGTGATCGGAACCATAACTTAGCAGTGGCTGGAGCTGAGATTATTACAATTTTATCTATGTTGGTTGGTTGGTTTGATTGGATTTATTCGGTGTAAACACCAAGGATAGCCCTCGGAAGTCTAGAAGAAGACTTACTTCCAGTGGGGTCCTTCTGGTGGTGATTGGGCAGTACACTGGGAGATAATCCCCTACTTTTTTCCGAAGAGTGCACATGGGCCAATGCACATGGGACCAACGGCTTAAACGTCTCATCCGAAAGACGGTGCGCTTTGTAACTTGTATTTCAGCCATCCAGCTGAAACACAAGAAGAGGCAACGATGGAAATTGAACCGGGGACCTACAATCTCCACGATTCAGCGCGCACACAGTGGCTACTACCAGATTAGCCGACTGAGCTAAGCTGCTCATTTCATTTTTGAAATACTTATTTTACTATATGAACTACTTCAGTTAACTTTTATCCATATTAATTAACGATGCAATAACATTGTCCTTTAAACCAAATGATAGGAATTATTCTACACTTTGATACCAAAAATAAAAAAATATATTTAGTTTGTAAAAGGCTGTGGGTGTAAATGTTACCCCCACCCAATACCAATCACCGAAATTCCAATGCTCTGCAAAAACAGCTAACTATTTTTGATGTCGGTTTACATGCTCTGGCAACCAGAAATCGCTTGGGTAACTAGGCATTTCTTGAAGCTTAGACACAAAAATGAATGACATGTATAAACCGGGGGGGGGGGGGTGTGCACCTTTTGGTTTCTGGCTCCATCATCGCCGTCCTCATCATCATCATCATCATCGCTGTCCTCATCATCATCATCATCGTCATCATTAATATTATTATTTAGTATTAAACAAAACTTTCTAAAAGCTTGCAAAAAAAGATAAAAACTAAACTGAACCATACAATATCACATTTTGGTATCTTGAAAAACTTTGCCTGTGATTTATGGATTTAAGACAAATTTTAGCTGATTTTTGTGGTTAACTAAGTTTGATAAATCCACCGCTAAGAGGTAAAGCCGTTATAATCCCGAAAATAGAGAGGTTTCGTAAGCTTACGAAAAACGATAACCAATACGGCTACGTCATCAAATGTTTAGTCAATCCATTCCCTACCGTAGCATATCTGTCACAAGAGGTTATCCATGTTTTCATGTATCAACGATCATAATTATTCAGCTCGTATGTATTTTTAAGAATGCTTTATGCACAAATGACGATAATGAAGATGACGTATTTCATATTCGTTATCGTTTTCATAAAACTCCCTATTGTTATTTTTTGCATTAGTTAAAAATTGATTATTCTAATGATGTATTCCACTAGGTTACTCTCAGCGTACCGGGGTGACTTTTATAGATAGACGTTTATGGTGGGTTTCTATCAGAGCACGGGTCACGGGTTTGTTTTTTTTTTTTGTT